AAAAAAAAAAAAAAAAACAATGCTAAATAGCTAATACTTCTCTGAACATGCATGCAGTTTCACACCTCTGTTTTTTGTACATGTTATTCCTTCTGCCTGAAGTTTCCTTGTGCTTTCATTAGTCTAAACAATCTAGGGCATTTATCATGTTTCTTCTACCGCTCATCCAAATCCACGGCTGTTGAGTTGATTGTGATTCATAGCAACCCTATAGGGCAAGGTAGAATTGTGCCATAGGATATTCAAGGCTATACATCTTTACAGAAGCAGACTGCCTCCTCTTTCTCCCATTGAGCAGCTGGTAGGTTTCAACTACTGACCTTTTGGTTAGCAGCCAAATGCTTTAACCAGTATACCACCAGAGCTCCTTTCTTCTCTAGGAGGAACTAATCATTTCTTCCTCTGCCATATCCATGCCATACCCATGCTTAATTGTTGAATTTATCCCAGTCATAGTTTGCCTTTAGTCTCTATTGCAGATTGTGAGGTCATTGCACAGGTTTGGTTTGATTTAGGAATAGAATTGTAGCCAGGAGTCAGCACCATGCATTCCTGGCTCATAGTAGAGGATCAAATGAAACTTTTGAGGGAGGATAAATGCAAGTGTTAAAATTTATTTTAGAAAAATGAATTTTACCCTAAATGGATTAATCTGATCAATGAATGAACGAGATTTACTTCTGCTGTTTGGCTTTATGTGTCCTCTTTGTGCATGTCTTTATTAATGACTATATTTCTTTGTTGGCTGAAATACAGATTGGAGAAAGTGAAGACATGATAAGAGGAAGAAATTTTGATATTTCAAATGATTTTGAATGGTATCAATAATGTCTGTCTTTTTCCTCCTATTTGAGATACGGAATTTTTGAACGATGCAGAGAATTGGTAGAAGCAGGATATGATGTCAGGCAACCAGACAAAGAAAATGTGTCGCTTCTTCATTGGGCTGCTATTAACAACAGGCTGGATCTTGTAAAGTAAGATGTTGTATGTGTGTTTTAAAGATGTAAGGTGTGTACAGGCATACCTCGGAGATACCTCAGGTTTGGTTCTAGACCACCACAATAAAGTAAATATCACAAGAAAGCAAGTCACATGAACTTTTTGGTTTCCCAGTGCATTTAAAAATTATGTTTACAGTATACAGTAGTCTATTAAGTGTGCAATAGCATTATGAAAAAGTTTGAAATACTATGACAATTACCAAAACGTGACACAGAGACACAAAGTAAGCACAAACCAAAAAAACCAAACTCACTGCCATCGAGTTGGATTCGACTCATAGCAACCCCTCCTTGGGTTTCTGAGGCGGTATTAGACTTGGTCCAGCTGGGTTACCACAAACGTTCAATTTATAAAAAGCATAGTATCTGCTAAGTGCAATAAAGCAAGGTGCAATAAAGCGAGGTATGCCTGTATTTATAATTCTAGACCTCGCTTTAATGTGTCTTTTTCTTCAAGTATAGGTACGACTGATGAGCCATCTATATAGTTCTGTTTTGTAAGTAAACAACAGAAACATTCTGCCACCAAACCCGCTTCCATCAAGTGAATTCCAACTCATAGCGACTGTATAGGACAGGGTAGAACTGCCCTAGAGGATTTCCAAGGCTGTAAATCTTTACGGAAGCAGACTGCCACACCTTTCTTCCATGGAGTGGCTGGTGGGTTCAAACCACCAACCTTTTGGTTAGCAGCCAAATGCTTTAACCACTGTGCCAGCAGAACTCCTTCATTCTGCTGCAGACATCTGCTAATCAGAGAGTGTAGAAGTACCTTAATCTGGAAGTGAAACTGAACATTTTTTAAAAAAAAGAAAAGCAAAACTTTTTCTGAGTAGGACAGAAAGTTTCATCTAATGTAGGAGAAACATTGAAATAGTTTACATTGTAGTATCAGGAGGAATAGATGGGCAGGAGAAGAACTTTTTTTTTTTTTAAGCTAAATACCAAATACAATTTTACATACACATGGATTATATCAGATACCTCCTGTTCAAAGAGCACTGCTGCCCACCCACTGATTACCTGTTTCTTTGTTTCATACCTTAGCATGTAACACATACTTGTATATGTAAATGTGTCTCTATTTTACCTTATATGTGTTTAAAATCCTTGAGGTTTGAGAAAATGAAAATTTACTAACACTGCACTCACAGGCAAATTCCTTGTGGAAATGAACAGATGTATTGTTTAGATAGGATATATGAAGTACAATTTTGAAATAATGAGAGTACTTCCTATAAATTTTGAAATAATGAGAGTACTTCACAGATGAAAACCAGTCTTGTTCTGTTAATAGATTCCCTGTATATTGATGCATCACATCTATGCTGTAAAGATAGAGACCAAAACACTTAAACGCTTAAAATGCTTGTGTTTTCCAGAAAGATTTTTAAGTTTCTATTTTACTACTTTGAGTATTCATTCACAAGTAATCATTCTAATCTTACATGTATTAAGTGACATAATTTTGCCTATCTCCTTTCAAGTTAAGGAGTGAATGTCTGTAATCCTCAGCCTTTCGAAAATAAAGTCTTTCAAGAGTTGTGATAGTTAGAATATGTATGAGGGTAGTTATCATGTGTTTGATATGTAAGTTATAATTGAATGCTAGTTAGAGCAGGAATCATTACTTATATGCTAAGAATGTTTCACCAGGAACTTGTTTGATACTGTTTTGTAATCTTTTTGATTTCTATAGATCAAGGTGTTTTGGAAGTGTTATTATTATAATTTCTGTTTTCCAACACATTTAGTACTATGAAAAAATAGTGTTTTCTTTCTCAGTGTGGATTTATCAGTTTGAAATCTTAGTTTCATTTCTGTCTGTTTTAACAGGTTTTATATTTCAAAAGGTGCTGTTGTAGATCAGTTGGGAGGAGATTTAAATTCAACTCCTCTTCACTGGGCCATCAGGTGAGGTTTCTGTAAACACTGAAGTTGCTATTTGCAATCAAAAGTAGTAAGTTCATCTTCTGAGTATTATAAACCATTGTTTTCCAATAGAATTTTCTGTGATGATGGAAATGTCCTGTCCTTCACTGTCTAATATAGTAGTCTCTGGCCATCTGTGAAAAGTGGCTAATAATGTACACAAGGAAATGCATTTTTAATTTTACTTCATTTAAATTTAAATCGTGGCTATTTTTATTTTCTTAAATAGTGGCTTTATTTATTAAGTGATGGCTAGTGGCCACCATTTTGGGTACATTTATAGATAATTTAAAAGACTTACTTTTGTCTTCCCCTTCATTTAAAAAAATTATAGTTTTAAAGAGTCTCTAGAGATGATGTCTTTTGTATTTAATTAAGGGCTCTATTATGATTATCAAATTCAGATATGTGTATTGTGCTTTCTTTTCTATAATCAGAATAAGTATATTTTATATTGGGTCGCATGAATAAAAACATTAGTTCCGTGAATTTAGACTCAGTCAGTTCAGTCCTTATAACAGATAGATGCCTATTTGAAAGCTTTATAGCTGTCAGTTTATTTCAGAAAAGTGTATTCCCTCTCAAAGTAAATGTAAAGTATGTCTCTATACTTTACCTTTAAAGTCAAATGCCTTTTCAGAGTTGTTACAGAATGACCAAATTTTTAGTAGGTCAATTTGGTAAAACATTTATATTGTCACTTTCATCTGGTGTGTCTTGGCCAACTGAAACAAAAGATAAGAGACTATATTGACACTTTATAACTTCTTTTATTTTATCTTATTTCCACTCTCTTTGGTAGGTGGGGTTCACATGAACCTGAAACTAAAGTGAATAATTGTTTATTTAAGACAAGCTGAATCTTTTCTCCATAGCCAAGAACTTTGAAGAGTCTAGAGTTAACTTGGGAGCTCTGGTAGCTTAGTGCTTAAGGCACTTGACTGCTAACTAGAAGGCTGGCGGTTCAAACCCACCAACCACTCCTTGGAAGGAAAGTTGGGTAATCTACTTCTGTAGTGATACAGCCTCGGAAACCCAAGGAAGGGTCACTGTGAGTCGAGTCCGACTCGATGGCACATAACAACAACAACAATAGAGTTAACTTACTACCTTTAATCTATTGAGGGACAGTGCTTTACATGGAAGAGGTGCAAGGGAAGTTGAACTGTACTCACATGTAAGCATATATTATAGTTTCTGAAAATAAAATTATAAGCACCTTATGCTCATTACCACTCATCTGTCAGTGGAGGCTTTCATGTTGCTGTGATGTAGAACAGGTGTTAGTAGAGCTTCTAGACTAAGACAAAGAAGAAAGGCCCAGCAATCTACTTCCTAAAATCAGCCAGTGAAAACCCTGTGGATCACAGTGGTCCAGTCTGTATCCAGTCATGGAGATAATGCAGGATTAGGACAGTGTTTCGCTCTGTTGTGCATGGGATCACCATGAGTTGGGGGCCAGCTCGACAGCAGCTAGCAACACCAACAACATACCTGCAGTCTGTGCAAGTTATGCTTCTGTATATCTGGGTCATGATTATTTTTTGTTTTAAAAATAGCCCCAGTGAAGTTGAATTGTTTTAAAGTTTTCATTGTTAGCAGTAGTCATATATAATTATTATTTACATATGATTATCAAGTTTATCACCTGTACTTAAGAAGGACTGTCCAGATAGTTCTAAATTTGAAACATCTAAGAAAAAGCATTTATAAATTCTCTTAGGAAATGCTGTATCTAAAGTCCCTCAGGTCTTAGTGATACCTGCTTCTCCCTGAAGTTTTTTCTTTTTCTGCGTACTACAAAATACAGTGTAATTTTTGTGTGTGTGTTTTATTTACAGACAAGGGCATTTAGCTATGGTCATATTATTACTAAAGCATGGTGCAGACCCCACTCTCATCGATGGAGAGGGATTCAGCAGTATCCACCTGGCAGTGTTATTTCAACACATGCCTATTATAGCATATCTTATCTCAAAGGGACAGGTATGTTTTTAAATGTATCGTAAGATACATAACCTTTTGTAAATCTGAAGAGTTTGGGTAACTTATTTTTAATAGTCTGTTTTCATTTTTAAAGTGGAAGTTATAGGTACCCAGATACCCAAATATTACCTTCAGTAAGTCTAACTGTTGGATACTGCTTTTGCAGCTTCACTGGGTGCCAAAAGGACAGGTCATTTAGCTCAGTAACATATAACTAGATGTATCTGAAACTTGTAAGCCTGTGTTAGTTTTCCATGTGAGCCCAGCAGTTTGAGTTTTTAAAAAACATGACTTCAAAGCCTATATTTTTCTTCTGGTTGAATGTGGGAATGCTAGTCAGATCACTAAATTAACCCATCATTTGCTTTCATTATTTGAGCCCAAATGGGAGGCCAATTTGAATATATTGTTCTCTGTAGTAATTCCATGAAAAATAGCTCATCTTAAGAGGCATCCATTTATGGCACAGGTTAAATTATAGGTTATTGGCAGAGGGAGTTTCACTGTCAGCTATTGCCTGGGATATACTTTCTGGTTACACAGTCGTTTATGTACCAGCAGACTCTTCTAACAGGCAGGGAAACATGTTTGCTCAAATGCTGTTGGAATGACTGTGCTCCCTTTAAATAAGCACTTTCTCTCAGACTTAGCCAATTGAAGTAGAGTAATTATAACCGCTTGAGTCTCATTTTGAAATATTTCCCTACTCCAGAAAGTCAAAAAGAATTTTTCATGTTTTACTATTTGAAACATAATATAAGTCCAAAAATATAATGAGTAGCCTCAGAAGATAAGGGAGTTCTTTATGACTAGAAGTGTTAAGTGGAGGCTGGATAACTTTGTGTTAGGAGATGATTGAATGAGTTAATGTGTCAAAGAAGGTCTAAACCAAATGATTTGTAAGGTCTTTATAGTGAAGGCTATTAATATTTTTCATTTTCTCATACTTCTGTTCACATTATGCCATGCTTTAAATTTTATGTTTAGACATTCCCTTGAAAAATATGTCATAGAAATGCATGGATTTTTACCCTGTGAATGCGAAGCAGTGCTTTCTTTTATTCAAATGATACTTGAACTCTTCTTGCAGATACATTGGAGTATATTAAAGAGGTACTTTGATTAAGGGAAGAAAAAGAGAATTTTGACTAAGTTTACAGAGCTTAGTTGAAAAGTTATTCTGATTGGCTCTTCTTTTTGAACAGAGTGTGAATATGACAGATTTAAATGGGCAAACACCACTCATGTTATCAGCTCACAAAGTACTTGGGTAAGTGAGTTTAGTTGAATTGCCTCATTCTGATTCTGGCTCTGACAGCTTCCTCTGTGTGTGTGTAATTTAAAGCACCATTGAAATAAATTATTTTCTCTGTTTGAAAAGCTTTGGTGAAAAGTTTAAAAACTACTAATGGAAATAAATTTTCCTTACAGAATAGAAATCTCCTCAGATGTAATGTACAAATGCAATGTAGTAATTGGGTAAATAACACAGCATTTAATATTGGCCCAAATTAAATTCAGGATTTTAAAAAACTTGTTAACCAGTTGAACACCAACATGAAAAAGAAAAAAAAAAAAGGAAAATGACAAGCATTTATTCCATTGTATATTATCTGTATAGCAAGCAGGGTGTTATTTAATACATGGTAGCTTTTTTTTTTTTTTTTAACCTGCCATACCACATTGAATAATACTTTGCACAAAGAATTCCTTGGTTATTCAAAATACTAGCTGATTGGTTAACTGATGCATTAGCTTAAAAGATTCATTATTTGCATTTACCCCTCAAATCATCATCTCTGTTAATGCTCCTTGGTATTTTACTCTTTTGAGACAGGCCAGAACCAACTGGATTTCTATTAAAGTTCAATCCTTCTCTCAGTGTGGTTGATAAAATACACCAAAACACTCCACTTCACTGGGCAGTTGGAGCAGGAAATGTTAACGCAGTTGACAAACTTTTGGAAGCTGGTTCTAGCCTGGATATCCGAAATGTTAAGGTATGACCAGGTATCTATTTCCCTTAGCTTATTATAGCCCCAAAAGATGATTGATAAAATAACATAAAGATAAGCTGCATGTTGGCTTTCAGTTACCTCAGGGTAGATATAATTAATAATGGCTGGCTACTCTTTGAATAAGGAACTCTAGTGGTGCAGTGCCTAAAGCATTTTGACTCCTAACCAGAAGGTTAGCAGTTCAAACCCACTAGCTGCTCTGTGGAAGGAAGATGGGGCAATCTGCTTCTATAAAGATTTATCATTTTGGAAACCCAGTGGCAGTTGCTGTGACTCAGAATGGACTCAATGGCAGGAGTTACTCTTTGAATGAAGGTGTTGAGTCTGTGGATCTCGTGAGTTTTAAAATGTTTCACATGGATGAAGTAGTGAAAATACAATTGAAATTTTCTCTTCCTTTCTCTTTAAGGGAGAAACACCTCTTGATATGGCTCTACAAAGCAAAAATCAGCTCATTATTCACATGCTAAAAACAGAAGCCAAAATGAGAGCCAACAAAAAGTTGAGACTTTGGAGGTGGCTACAGAAATGTGAGGTATTTTCATATGGGGCCTGTTGTATGGGATGTAAGAATATTTATGTATGTTTTTGTTTTTTAGGTCATCAGGGAATACCAAGCAGTTGGCTTAGTGCTTCATTATATCTGCTGGTTATATCTTTCCCATACCTCCTGCAACCCAAAGTTGGAAATTTGGTGCTTTTGTTGGCTGTTTATTATTGGTTCTTAGCTAAATGGCTCTCTAACTACACATTACCTTGTGAATATTATGGAATACTTCCCCATTTATTGAGGAATGAGTTCAAATGTAATTGGTTTAGATTCTTGGAAAAGGAAAAATATTTTGGCAAGGAATTTTATGGACACTTTCCTTAGCCAAGGACCTCTGGTGGTATAGTGGTTAAAACATTTGGCTCCTGACCAAAAGGTTGAGCCCAGCAGCTGTTCTGTGGGAGAAAGATGAGGCAGTCTACTTCTGTAAAGATTTACAGCCTTGGAAAAACCCTATGGGGCTGTTGCACTCTGTCTTATAGTGCTGCCATGACTCAGAATGAACTTGATGGCGCAGTGGGTTTGGTTTGGGGTTTTTCTTAACCTGTTGTTCATTGATTTCTTTTTCTCTCTCTCTTCCAAAAAGAAAATAATAACACTCAAAATGTTTTGTTAGAATCAGGGGGATGACTTTAAAAGTGACAACATTGCAAATTTCAGGAACAGGTTTGCCCTGCTATCTGAAAGCAGAGCTTCCTAGGAAACCTTTTGTTAAGCTGAAATAGAGTAAAGCAAAGAAGCAACTACCATTAATTTATATGGGAAAAGTTTGGGGGTTTTCAGACCCAAAAAATAACATTCTAGATCAAATGAAACCTAAAATAACACTAACATAGTGTTCATAGATACATTTCAAAGCTATGGTGGCATGATGCTGAGATGCTGAGTGTAATTTCCAGGTAAAGAATTTGGCAATGATGCCACTCTCACCTCTCGGGGTGCATGCTGTCTCTTTCATGGCTCACTGCAAAACAATTGTTGAACACTGATTTCACTTTTTGCTCTTTTTCATAAAATAAAATCCTTTTCAAGTTTCTCTTGGTTAGCAAAAACAGGTACTAAATTAGGTCTTTTGTAAAAGCAAAATGGCGTAAAATAGACTTTTGAAAAGCAGGGGATACCTGCATATAATGTCACTTTATAAAACCAGATATCTTGAATTTTATTTGAAACATGAAACTCCAATTTTATTCATTTTTTAACTTCGCAATTTAAAGTTAACTGAACAATAGGAAAAGTTAGAAAGTTCAGCTTACTCTCATGAATGGCTAACAAAATCTAAGTCATAGTGGTGAATACAATTTATGTTGTTAAAGTGGGATACCAGATTGATTGCAGTGTTTTTGATGTTTTCAAATATATTATTTTTCTATAAGGAGCTGCTCTGGTAGCATAGTGCCTAAGGTACTTGACTGCTAACCAGAAGGCTGGCAGTTCAAACCCACCAGCCACTCCTCGGAAGGAAGGCTGGGCAATCCTACTTCCGTAGTGATACTGCTTCGGAAACCCAAGGAGGAGTCGCTATGAGTCAGGGCTGACCCAACGGCATATAACAACAACAACAACAAATTATAATTAGTAATTATATTTTTGGAGTGATTTTACATTAACAGACAACAGATTTCTGTGGAGAGGGTCATGAATACAACCCCTATTTTGTGTTTAGGCATTTTGAGGGAGAGAAAGAAATAACAGTTACTCATCTGCCTCCTTGGCCAGTTTCTCCACTTCTCCCTACCTCTTGCTGCTAGAGCATCCCAGGGTTTTGTACTGGACTTCCTTTCTATCTACTCACTTCCTTGGTGCTTTCAAATGGTTCCATGGCTTTAAATGCCATCTACATTTTGGCAACTTCAGAATTTATTTCTTAGTCCACACCTATCCTGTCTCATATTCAGCTGCCTACTTGATTTGTCCACTTCATTGTCTATTAAGCATGTCCAACATAAAATACTCAAAACTGAGCTCCTGCGCTCCTCCCTACCTCATCCCATAGCCTGCTTCACCTCAGTAAGTGGCAACTCCAGCTTTCCAGTCATCTCTGTCTTGTCTCTATCATACCACAATCAGAAGGACATGTTGGCTGGCTCTGCTATAGTATTTTTGAGAACCTGACCACTTTCCATCACTCTACCAATACCATTTTGGTCCAGCCATCCTTCTCTCTCATCTGGATTACTGCAGTTGCCTTCTGATCCTCTCAACACCCGGTCTACTCTCAACACAGCAAACAGATGAATCTTTTAAAAGTAGAAGTCAAATCCTGTTGGTTAGCTCCTTCATATCCTGTATCTCCGCATATCACCCAGAGTAAAAGCCAAAATTGTTACAGTGACCTACCAGGCTCTATGTAATCCAGATTTTTACGCACTATAAAATCCACTTATGTTTGTCTGTCTTCCCTGCTAGAATTTAAGTTCCATGAAAGAAAGACCTTAAATTCATTGATGTGTTCCAGGTGCCTAGAACAGTGCCTGCTATATAATATGCCCTCATATATTTGTTGAATGAATAATGTGGCTCATGCACAAGAGTGTTATATCTGCAATTGGAATTTCTGAGATCCATATTTAATTCTTTTTTGGTTGTGAGTTTATGCTGTTTATAGAGTTTAAATTTGAATTTATAAACACCATAATTAAATATGGATCTCAAAATTCCAATCCCAGATATAACACTCTTGTGAATGAGCCACATTATTCATTCAACAAAATGTGGCTCATCTACAAGAGTGGATGCCCTTTTTCATAAAGGTAGCTTGGGCACAGCGGAAGGCGGGCATTTGTGTGCATGGAGCACCCCAGCGGCAGTGGAAGGTGGGTTTTTGTGTGGAGCACCCTGGGGGCAGGCCAGGTAAGCTAGCGGGGCAGGGAAAACAGGAAATGAGTGGAGAAGTTTGGAACAGCTAAGGTGGACAAACCTGTCTGTCAGTTTGTCGTACTATGGTGGCTTGCATATTGCTGTGAGGCTGGAGGCTATGCCACTGGTGTTTTAAATGCCAGCAGGGTCACCCATGGTGGACAGGTTTCAGCGGAGCTCCCAGACTAAGAAAGACTCGGAAGAAAGAAGAGGCCATCCCCTTCTCAAAGAATTGGTCAGTAAAAACCATACGAATACCAGTGAAACACTGTCTGATATATTACTGGAAAACTTTATGACTAGCCCTGAAACATTATCCAGTATAGTGCCGGAAGATGAGCCCCTAAGGTTGGAAGGCACTCAGAATGACTGAGAAAGAGCTGCCTCCTCAGAGTAGAGCTGACCTCCATTTGCTGATGTGGCACATCTTAAGATGAGAAGAAACATCTGGAAACATCCATTAATAATCAAAACATGGAATGTATGAAGTATGAATCTAGGAAAATTGGAAGTTGTCAAATATGAAATGGAATACACAAACATCAATATCCTAGGCATTAGTAAGCTGAAATGGACCGGTTTGGGCCATTTTGAATCAGATAACCATATGATCTATCTACTATACTGGAACGACAAATTGAAGAGGAATGGCGTGGCATTCATGGTCACAAAGAATGTATCAAGATCTATCTTGAAGTACAGTGCTGTCAGTGTTAGGATAATATCCATACACCTACAAGGAAAACCAGTTACTATTATTCAGATTTACACACCAACCACCAAAGCTAAAGATGAGGAACTTGAAGATTTTGACCAATTTCTGCAGTCTGAAATTGACCAAACATGCAATCAAGACGTGTTAATTATCACTGGTGATTGGAATGCAAAAGTTGGAAACAAAGAAGAGTCATAGTTGAAAAATAAGGCTTTGGTATTAGAAATGATGCTGGAGATCACATGATAGAATTTAGCAAGACTAACTACTTATTCGTTGCAAATACCTTTTTTCAACAACACAAATAGCAGCAATACATATGGACTTCATCAGACAGAGTATACAGGAATCAGATTGACTACATCTGTGGCAAGAGGCAATGGAGAAGCTCAATATCTTCAGCCAAAACAAGGCCAAGAGCTGATTGTGGAACAGACCATCAACTGCTCATATGAAAGTTCTATTTGAAGTGGAAGACAATTAAAAGAAGTCCACGAGAGTCAAAATATGACCTTAATTATATCCCTCCTGAATTTAGAGACCATCTAAAGAATAGATTTATTACATTGAACACCAATGACTAAAAACTAGAGGAATTGTGGGATGACATCAAAACATCATGTATGAAGAAAGCAACATGTCATTAAAAAGACAGGAAAGGAAGAAAAGACCAAAATGGATGTCAGAATAGACTCTGAAACTTGCCCTTGAAAGCAGAGAAGCTAAAGCAAATGGAAGAAATGACAAGATAAAAAGCTGAACAGAAGATTTCAAAGAGCCGCTAAAGAAGACAAAGCCAATTATTATATTGAAATGTGCAAAGGCCTGGAGTTAGAAAACCAAAAGTGAAGAACACAGTCATCATTTCTCAAGCTGAAAAAACTGAGGAAAAATTTAAGCCTCAAGTTGCAATGTTAAAAGATTCTATGGGCAATATATTGAATGATGCAGGAAACATCAAAAGAAGATGGAAGGAATACAGAGAGTCACTATGCCAAAAAGAATTGGTTTATGTGCATCCATTTCAGGAGGTGGCATGTAATCATGAACCAATGGTATTGAAGTATGAAGTTGAAGCTGTACTGAGGAGGTGGTGAAAAACAAGGTTCTGGGAACTGACAGAATACCCATTGAGATGTTTCAGCAAATGAATAGTGCACTGGAGGCACTCACTTGGCCATCCCAAGAGGTTTGGAAGACAGACACTTCCTTGCCAATTGACTGGAAGAGATCCATATTTGTACCCATTCCAAAGAAAGGTGAATCATACACAATGTGGAAATTTTCAAACAATATCATTGATATCACACACAAGTAAAATCTTACCAAAGATAATTCAGAAATGGTTGCAGCAGTATATTGACAGAGAACTTCCAGAAATGCAAGCTGGATTCAGAAGAAGACATGGAATGAATGGAGGATATCATAGCTGATGTCAGATGTATCTCGGCTGAAAGCAGAGAATATCAGAAAGATGTTTACTTGTATTTTATTGACTGTACAAAAACATTTGATTGTGTGGATCATAACAAATATGGGAACATAACATTGAGAAGAATGGGAATTCCAGAACACTTAGTAGTGCTCATAAGAAACCTGTACATAGACCAGGAGGCTGTTGTTCGAACAGAACAAGGGGATACTGCGTGGTTTAAAATCAGGAAGGGAGTGCATCAGGGTTGTATCCTTTCACCATACTTACTCAACTTGTATGCTGAGCAAATAATCTGAGAAGCTGGACTATATGAAGAGGAATGTGGCAACAGGATTAGAGGGAGGCTCATTAACAACCTGCGATAAGCAGATGACACAACTTTGTTGCTGAAAGGGAGGATGACTTGAAGCACTTACTGATGAAGGTTAAACACTACAGTCTGCAGTATGGATTACACCTCAATATAAACAAAACAAAAATCATTACAACTGGACAAATAAGCATCATGATAAAAGGTGAAAAGATTGAAATTGCCAAAGACTTCATATTGGTTCTCAGTACCAATGGAAGCAGCAGTCAAGACATCAAAAGACATACTGTGTTACACAAATCTGCTGCAAAAGACCTCTTTCAAGTGCTGAAGAGCAAACATGTCTCCTTGAAGACGAAGGTGCACCTAAACCAAGCCATGGTATTTCTAATTGCCTCTTATGCATGTGAGAGCTGAGCAATGAATGAGGAAGACCAACGAAGAGTTGATGCTTTTGAGTTGTGTTGGTGAAGGATACTCAGAGTACCATGGACTGCTAAAAGAACTAACAAATCTGTCCTGGAAGAAGTGTAGCCGGAATGCTCCTTGGAAGTGAGAATGGCCAGACTTTGTCTCACCTAGTTTGGTCATGTTGTCAAAAGGGACCATTCCCTGGAGAAGGATGTCATACTTGGTAAAGTGGCGGGTCAATGAAAAAAGGGGAAGGCCTTCAGTAAGATGGATTGACACAGTTGCTGCAATGATGGGTTCAGGTATAGCTGGGATTGTCAGTATGGCACAGGACCAGGCAGTGTTTCATTCTGTTTTATATAAGGTTGCTATGAGTCAAGACAACTTGATGGCACCTAACAACAACAGATTCTAAATTTACCTTTTCTCTAAATCTGAACTTGCTCATGTTGTGTCGTCATGCACATTAGAATCAGAAGCATTTTAAACATATGATACCATTTGAAGTCATCAATCCCCAGAATGTGGCTTAAAGTAGTAAAAATTGAAGAAGAAAGGGCAAAATATATTTTTCCTCTTTGCTATTCCAAAGAAGTGCTTTGTTTTCAGGGTTATGTATCTTATAGTTAAGGGAATGCATTGCCCAGATAGGATGCTTGGTTTTCATGCAGTCAGATTGTTGTTGGTCCATAAAAGTTTTGTTATTTTAACTGTGCCTGAATAAACCTGAGGACATATTTTGGTCTTTGACCCCCACGTGGCATTTGGCACCAAGAACGACTCCCTTCATGAAAGTCTCTTCCATTAGCTTCTCTGAAACCTTTCTTTTTCCTCATTCTCATCCTGCAGTTTCCTCCTTCTTGGTTACCTTTGAGTCCTTAGTGTTTTTTTCCCTCTAAATGTGGTACCTAAGAGTCTGCTTTTCTAGCTCTGCAGACTGTCCTTGATGTGTAGTTCACTCACGGCTCTACTGCCTGTATACAGGTGTGCTCCACTTCCTCTCATGCCACTGCTGCCACCACCCCTGCCTGCAGCCTCCACCAGCAGCAGTGGCAACAAAGAAAAGCATGGTCCTGGAAGGTTTTAATATATTAGTACAACATCCAAATCACATAAAGCCCTATTTCACAGAATGTACTGTGGACATTAAGTGATGCATACCTGTACTGAAAAAAAATAAACCTCACTGTCGATGGACCTTCGAATTGGATCTGACTCATAGCTACCTCTCCTTGGATTTCTGAGGCAGTATCACTATGGGAGTAGATTGCCCAACCTTCCTTCCAAGGAGTGGCTGGTGGGTTTGAACCACCAGCCTTCTGGTTAGCAGTCAAATGCCTTAGGTACTATGCCACCAGAACTCCTATACCTGTACTGATAAGCCCCAAATCTTTTCCAGAGGGATTAACCTGCTTTTCTCACTGCCTCCTGGATAGCTCTTAGATGTCCAAGGGCATTTAAAATTATACATGCCCACACTAAACTTGTCTTTTCTGCAAACTCGTTCCTTCTAACTTTCTTTGTTTCCTATTTTAGGGCATGGAACTGTAAGGTGCTCAAGTTGAATCGTGGGTTGATTGATTTTTGTGTGGTCCCTTTAGCTGGCTTTCTGCTCTCTGCTATATAATGCTATTTGAAAGATTTTTTTTTTTAATAACAGCTTTCATCAGCACTTTTCTAAAAGGACCATAATTTCTTTCAGGGGACAAAAGCAAAATAAAGTATGTTTAAGCAACATTTTATAAAATGTAGGGCTTTTAAAAGATTATTTCTGAGATCTGTAATATCAAATTCTAGATTTATTATAAGCAATTTTGAAGAAAAACTCTTAAGGTCAGTTCTGCTGTTGTACTAATTGTTGTTATATACTTTAGAAGTAGTTCTTCTATCAAGCTAATTATATTTCATAGTTAGAGGTAAAATCCATAAAGTTCTAAACTTCTGAATCTTTTGATAGCTCTTCCTGCTGCTGCTGCTTTCTGTGATTACCATGTGGGCTGTTGGATACATACTGGACTCCAATTCAGATTCTTGGCTTTTAAAAGGAAGTCTTCTAGTAATAATGTTTTTTCTGACATCTTTGTATCCAAGGTGTGTATATTCTTTATAAACCTCATTTATTGCATTTCCAATTTGGTTGCTTATTTCTATTGTTGATTAGCTGGAATCGCAGATTTTTACTGAGTTTGGAATGTTATCACATAGCAAAACTCAGGGCTGATGGGAAGGTAGGGTTTTGGTACCATGTGATTTGACTGAAAGCAAATTGGACAACCCAATAACTTGATTGAAATGACAATTTTGGGAAAATAAATATCCTCAGTCACTTTTTGATTTAATAATTTTGATGACTATAGGGATATTTTTGTAACCGTTTCACATCTCAGCATTTTTGCCCATTTTCCAGAATTTTTTTTTCTTTTCAATATCTAAGTTCAGTTTAAGCTAGCAAGTTTAGTTCTTAATATTTTTTTAGTTAAAATAACCTAATTAAATTGTGGGAGATTATAAAATAGTAGTTGTGATATTATCCCATTTTTAAGAAAATTATTTTTACGTGATTGGATGTAACTGGTTACGAGTCAGACTTAGACTGTGTTCAATTCAAATTTCATAGCAGTGTGAGCTTGAACAAGTTGCTTCACCACACTGTGCCTCAATTTCTTCCTCTATAAAATGGGAATGATAATTGTGATAATGCGTACCTCCTGATTGAATGAGTTAATACATATAAAATGCTTAGACCATCGTTGACACAGTTAGTACTCAGTAGTCATCTTTCACACCCCAGTTTCTCCACCTTTTCTCTTCCCCTTCGCGGTAAAATGGCATCTAGTTCTTTAGGTGAGAAAAAAAGTGTCATCCTTGGTTCTTGTTTTTCCTCAGTTCCCTCTTCCAGCCAATCACCAAGTTCTTCTTATTCCCCCTCTGTAATTTATTCTCACATGATTGGCTTCTCTCCAGTTCCATAACTATCACCCAAACTTCCTAACTGGTTTCCTGCCTTGACTCTTCTTCCCTGCAGTTCACTCCCACTTATCCGTCTGGGTAGTCTTTTAAAAAGGCAATTCAGTTTCTATCTTTTCTCCTGCTTAAGGCCCTCCCTTCAGTTTCTTTTCTTTTTTTTCTCTCCAAGTTTTTCAGTTTATTTTTTCAAGCCAGGCTTCCTGCCTTGGTTATCCTCAGAGCTTTGGTGATGCAGTGGTTAAAACATTCACCTGCTAACCAAAAGCTGCTAACCTACCAACCTCTCTGCAGGAAAAAGGTGAGGCTTCTGCTTCCATAAAGATTACAGTCTTGGAAACCCTGTTGGATAGTTCTACTCTGTCCTATAGGGTTACTGTGAGTCAGAACTAACTCAATGGCAGTGAGTTTTTCTGATCCAATCACTTATATCTGGGGGTGAGTGGCCTTATGGGTGAGAAGGGCTTTGGGTGAGACAGATACTGTGTTAGACACTCATTCAGTAAATTGAGATTGTAATTTACAAATTAAATTCTTATAATTTAATCACATCCTTGGAACTAATGAATTCCAAAGTGCCAAAAAAAAAATTTGTTACTGAGCTTGCAAACCCAAAGGGACAAAACTGTACAGGTCAGTTGCTTCTCACTGTACTTAGAATAAAACCTAAATTCCTTGCTATGACTGTAAGCATTACGTGATTCACTCCTTTCCCCTCTGACTCCATCGCTCCCTCTCTTCCTGCTGCTGCACACAGCCTCATTTCTGTTTCTGGAATACATCACGCTATTCCCACCTGGGGCCTTGGCTTTTGCTTGTGTCTTTGAAGTGTTCTGACGCTGTATCTTTGTGTAGCTGGAGTCCTCTCATCATTCAGTCCTCAGTTCCAACATCACCTCCTTGAGGAGGTCATCCTGATAATTTTGTTAAACCTTCATACCTTTTGTCTATCATTCCAGGTATAAATTTTAAGATATATTCATATATAGTTTGACTATGTTAAGTAGTATGAAAGACTTAGTTTTCAAAACAAACTTGCTAAGGGGGCAAGGAGGCCACATCTTCTGACCTCCTCTAACTAACCCCACAAGAGGAGGATAGAATCACCATCAGTAGCCCAAGGTCTATTCCTGCAAGGCCAGACATGCTGCCTCCCTCCAGCCCTTTCACCAACCATTCCTCCTAAAGCACCCACCACCTGTCTCCTGGGTTTGATAAGTCACTGCAGTGGCCACACAGAACTCACAGATAACAGGGTTTATTAGGGAAGCACCAGGCTACAATTCAGGTTCAGGAGCAACACACTCAGTCTCTCTCAGCCTGCTATCTCTCACCCAACAGTCTCTCACAGTCTCTCTCCCAGCAGTGTGTGTCCCTTGGTGTCTCTCTCAGCAATGCGTGTCTCTTGCGTCTCTCTCCCAGCAGCATGTGTCTCCCAGGAGCGCGTGTCTCTCAGGAGCACGTGTCTCTCAGGAGGGCGTTCTTCTCAGCCAACAGTCAGAGAGAGTTCTGCTTCTAGAAGGCCTCCTTTTGAGCCTGGCAGAGTGGCCAAACCAACCAATCATAACATCAGAATTCTAAGCACCTGAGAGAGAGTGAGAACCTCCCAGAACATTGCTTTGTGCCACTCCCAACAGAAATACTCCAGGTGGACAACTTTAATGATCAGGAGCCACTCAGTTGCTCAGGGCAAATTCCACCACAGAGTTTGCAAAGACTTATGGCTAGAAAAGCCATACCAGGTAATTTACTATACCACAGAACTATAATGTTTAACATTTTAAGTAAATTATATATGGACTTCAAGTTGCTTTTTATACAAGTAAGATTTTTAGTGTTCTGATAACTAGTGCCACTGTTAGCACTTCACCTATCTTTTCATTATAGAGTGTCTCCTCAGGCTGGTTACTGGATAAAAGTGTTTAAGATAGTGTGCACCTGTGTATTTCATAAATATATTACTAGCTTCTCACAGAGAGCTCGTTAAATGTGAAGATGAATTTCCAAGTATTTAAAGTTTTGCATTTTAGAGTATTTGGAAATATCTTAGGTCCAGTAAGAAATACTTGAGGGGAAGGCCCTCGACAAGATAGATTGACACACTGGTTGCAGCAATGGGCTCGTGTATAGCAAATATTGTGAGGCTGGCACAGGACTGGGCAGTGTTTTGTTCTGTTTTACGTAGGGTTGCTATGAGTTGGAGCCAACTTGATGGCACTTAACAACACAAAAGAAATACTAATAAGATATACCTGAATAGAAATGTGAAGGATACATTAAAATATATATTACCTTATTGAGAATGAAATAATATAGATGCTGGTCATGAGAACTAGAATGTACGCTTCTTTAGAGTCATGATTCTTCAGTTTTCTCATGTGTCAAATGGGGTTGGTGGTACAGAATTGCATTACCACATGGAAAGTGGCATATAGTAAGCACTCAGTAAGTGAAAGCTATTATTATTACTGTTACTGTGTGGGGGAAATTAGAGCTAAAGTTAATATGAATCATACTTGTTTTCACTAATACCTTATGTTTATCCTTTTTCTTCCAGGATGTTGGTTGGATATAAAAGCCTTATATACTTACCAACAGTCTTTCTGCTAAGTTCTGTTTTTTGGATGTTTATGACTTGGTTTGTCTTATTCTTTCCTCATATCCTTTCAGCAGAATTTGAGTTGCATATCTCACTTTGCCTTTAAAAATTAGTAATGTCATTGTTAAGAATTTAGATATTGGAAGGGAACCAGGGAATGTAACTCAAATCTGTATTCATTTAATGATGCTGGTTGAAGATGGTTAATGTTGAAAAGCTACTCATTTCTGGAAATAATCTCAGAGTACACTGTGAAAACAGAGGATATCTAGTATTTATTACTCATAGGAGGGGAACAGTGTTGTTGTTGTTATGTGCCGTCGAGTCAGCCCCGACTCATAGTGACCCCTCCTTGGGTTTCTGAGGCAGTATCACTATGGAAGTAGATTGCCCACCTTCCTTCCAAAGGAGGGGAACAGTAGAATGAGTTATTATTTGAGTTGGACTCATAAAAATTTGTGTGATTGCTTTGAGATTCTTTTCAAGGTCAGATGGTGCATTTAAGTTGGTCAGTAATTACAGTTGATTAATAAATTTCTGGATACAGGGATGGCCCGAATGGGAGTGGTATTGGGGAAAATGTGGCTTCCTTTCTTGGCATTAGCTCAGTGGCAGTGGTATTATCCAAGGCAGTGATTCTCAAGCTGTTTTTGAAGCTGTCCACAGTAGAAATAAATTTACATGCATTGCCATCCCAAACATATGTAAAACAAAAGTTTCAGGAAACAGTACTCATAATGTGTCCTTTGTACATTATTACTATTTTTAATTTCATTTATTTTATCATTCTTTTCTTTTAAAAAATGCCAGTCACAGCACAGTTAACTGCTTACATGACCTACGAATGAATGGTAACCCATAGTTTAGAAATCTCATTTAAGGAGTAGCTTTATCACTTGAGGATCAATGCCCAGGTCCAAGCCCAGCTTAGGAGTGTGTTGTGCTCTTAGGTTTGGCCAAGTCCAGTCATCTGGAAGTGGGGAGGAGGATTATTTCTTGCCTTATAGCCATTTATACCTCCCATTAGGTGGGAGTCCATTCTTTGATCTTCCCGCTTCTTTCTAGGTTCCATTCTCCCCTCCCAAGGGTTCTGGGAAGCCATTATAGCAATGCTTTGCTTATAGTCTAGGGCAAGAATGAATACAGTAGATAGAAATATACCTTTAAGTATAGTCCTTTAACTTTATGTTATTTCCCTTCCTGGTAATGTCATTTTTGAAAATAAAGAAGAGGTGTTTATGGGAGAGATGCATAAGTTCACTTAAGAATATTTTTTCATAGGATTTAATGTAAAGTAAAGGAGACATTTAAGTTTTCAGAGTTCATAAATCTACAATCCATTATAGCATGTTTTCACTTTAATGCTTATTTTTTTTTCTGAGCATTATTCCTAATATTTTGCAGATTTCTTTATGTAACTTAATAGCACAGCATGCCTTAGGGTCATTTGGCTTTTTTTCCCCCAACATTTTATCACATCTAACTATTGTCTCATAATTATTGATTTTGCTTTTTAAGCTCTAGCCATAGTACCACCTTAATATAAGGCTTGGATGATAATCATTATATGAAATAAAAATACTTTTTTAAACCATCAGTATATAAAAGAATGGTATACTATATACCAAAAGTACTTGCAGAAGTCCCAAGGCTTATAAATTCTAGGATAATTGGCACAATCTGAGAAGGGCTGGCTGGTATTTTGGTATACTAACCCATGTACCATCACAGTAAACAGTTTTTAAATTGTGTTTCTTGATGAATTTATAAAATTTGAGCAATTTAGATTATTTCACATTTTGCACATAAAGTGAGTTCACTTTATATTGAGTTACTTCAAATTTGTAGAATCAAAATTGACAAAAATCTATTTTGACTGTAGTTTGAAAACCTCAGTTATAGAATTTAGTATCCAGTTCAGATTAACTAGATGAAAGATACCTAGAAACTGAAATATTTGTGAAGATGCTATTACATCAGAAGAACTGACTTCCATAGCTAGGTAGAGTCATTTTTTTTTATTATTATTTTTTAATTCTTTTTTTTTGTGTGTGATTTGGGTGAAAGTTTACAGAGAAAATTAGCTTTCCATAGAGCAGTTCACATACACTTTATCTCATGACATTGACTACAATTTACCACAATGCAACAGCTCCTCTCCCATTCCTCCCCATAGTTAACTCTTCCCTGCATAGTTACTTCTTCCCTGTGTCCTTCCCTCCATGCACTCCTGCCCTCGGAGCTATGTCCCTGTGCATACACAGCCCTTCTATTCTCCCATGATTGTTCTCTCCATAGGAGTGGAGTGTATCTACCTAATGTAAATGTTCAGCTCATATGCCTGTCTTTTGTCTTTTGTTTGGCGGGAAGCCACATGTGTGGGTTCAGTTCCAGACCTGAAGGGCAGCTAGGGGCCATAGTCTCAGTGGTTCCATCAGACTCTATCAGCCTAGAAAACCTGGTCCCTTTTCTTTTCCAAATGATTTTGAGTTTTGTTCCACATTGTTCTCCCTCTCTATCCAGGATCTCCTACATTGATTCCCCCTCCGAGTGGTTGACAGTGATAAGCTAGGTAGAGTTTTAAGATGTTAGAGTTGACAAGGTGGAATGTTTTACTTGCGTATACAACATAAAGCCATTTGATCCAAGCATCCATTGGAACTTGCTACTCAAGAGGGTGTGTGAGTCACTAGGTGTCATACTTTACCACCAGATAAATGTTTTCAAGGTGAAATGCTGTTTGAGCTGCCCTGTGTTTCCATCCTAGGCATTTTGACTAGGTTTCTTTCAGGCTGCCAAGTCTGATTTAGTGGGGGCTTCTGCTTCCCCAGCCACCTGGCCCATTATGGGAAGAGGTCTTGGGCACTGTGGAAAGAGTACAGTCTTTGTAACCAAAAAGAATGGGTTTGAGGTTTAGCTCGTTTTCTTACTAGTTGTGTACTATTGGGCAAGCTACTTAATTTCACTGAGTCTCAGTTTTTCTGTAAAATGGGGGCAACAATACCGAGCTCAGGAGATGACTCTAAGAATTACTATGCTATATATCATCTATATAGGAGCTCTGGTAGCATAGTGCATAAAGCACCTGACTGCTAACCAGAAGGCTGGCGGTTCAGACCCCCCAGCCACCCCTCAGAAGGAAGGTTGGGCAATCTACTTCCGTAGTGATACCACCTTGGAAACCCAAGGAGGGGTCGCTATGAGTCGGGTCCGACTCAACAGCACGTAACAACAACAACATATACCGTCTATAAAGTGCTGACCACAGTTCTCCTTTCATAATTGACCTTCTATAAATTAATACCTATTTTTTATTATTATTATTGTTGTGTGCTATTGAGTTGATTCTGATTAAATAGTGAGCCTTGTATGGCAGAGTAGAATCACCCCATAGGGTTTCCTAAGCTGTAATTTTTACAGAAGTAAATTATCAGGTCTTTTCTACTTTTATTATGGATATATAATTATTGTTAATTACTCTTATGAAAAAAATTTGCACGGGAGGCTGCATTTGAAACTAATTTTAAGGGCAATTCTGGATTGACTCCTCAGGCATTCATTTTCTTTTGATGCCTTTTATATATTCAGCAAACAGTGTATTTGGCTTTTATAAGGAGGGAATTGAATGAAAGAGAATAGAACTTCTCTGATGAACAGGTAAGATTAAGATGAAACAAATGGTGAACCTTTGAATGTTGCATTTGTGATACTGGCTATAACTAACTGAATTCAGTTTCCAAACCCAAACCAAACCCACTACCATGGACTGAGTCAATTTCAACTTATAGTGACCCTATAGAACAGAGTAGAACTCCCCCATAGGGTTCCCAAGGCTGTGAATCTTTACAGAAGCATACTGCATCTTTCTCCTATGAAGCCACTGATGAGTTCAAATCACTGACCTCTGGGTTAGCTGCCAAATGCCTTAACCACTGAACCACCAGAGCTCCTCAGTTGAGTTAAGAGGGATTAATACATGTAAAGACCTATACTTGGCTTCAGAGAATCAGCTGTTACAAGTGCATGTAATGGTGAGCTATGACATATCTTCAGGTCAAGTGAAAAAGAACCAGGAGTTTGGAATAAGGCCCAGGGTGGGCAGTGACTCAGCTTTAAGGAAGCCAGTGTGTTTTCAAACAGTATTACGGGATTTGAGTGCCCAGATAAAGAGAATCAATGAAATGGCAATCTCACTGTCCCAGTGGTCAGTACATACCTGAAATGTGTTTGCTCTGCTTTCAGTTCTGTTCTTTTAAAAAAAAGAAGACAAACAGGAGTATGTACAGAGGATATTTCCAGGAAATGTGTCATGTGAGGAACAATGTTGCTGATTATCCTGGCAGGATGATTATTGCCTCCCATTGCCAGTATTTGGAATTTTATCACTTAGAAGCCTAAGCATTGTATAGAATGGGCACTCAATAAACATTTATTGAACAAATGGGAGAATAAGCTGATAGGCCACGTATAGAGTAGATCTACACTGTAGATCTAAAGAGTGAAGACCAGAAGACCAGTTGGTAGAAGCTATAGAGTGGCAAATTTCAGTGCCGTATTTCTGTAAAGTGGGGCCAACAATACCAAGGTCTAGAGATGGCTATAAGAATTACTATGCTGTACCATCTATAAACTGCTGACCACAGTCCTTCTTTCATAATTGACCTCTATAAATTAATACCTATTTTTTAAATTATTGTTGTTGTGTGCTATTGAGTTGATTCTGACTCAGTAGTGAGCCTTATAGGACAGAGTAAATTACTTGTACTTAACTGTAAAAGGGTCATAAGCTAACTGGGAGAGGGGGTGGGGGGAGGGGCAATGTCTACAAATAACTGCAAGTGCCGGAGAAAAAGCACTTGAGTTCAGGGAAGGGAGAGAATCCTTCTCTGTAGTGTATCAGAAAAGACCTACTAGGGAAGGGAGAGTGTAAATTAGGTCTTGAAGCAGTTAGGCCTTGAACATCCTAAAAGAGTCAAAGCTATATGGAGGGAAGTGGAGGCATTTCAGGCCGAAGACTGGACCCCACGAGTAAGGGCACAAAAGCAAGGAATGTCACAATCCAGTTTACTTGGAGAGAGGAGATTCAGTGATTTTTCTTGGGTTTTACCTATTTGTAAGTTACTCAGAACAAGAGCTCACATATCAGTCAGCTCACAGCCCATTATACAGGATCATCGTATGACTTCACCACAGCTTCAAACTGGTTCATTCCAGTTTAACTCCCATCTACCCCAGATATACTGGATCAGAATCTATATTTTAATAAGATCCCTGTAAGTCACCTGAGAATTTTGTTGAAATGGAGATTCTGATTGAGTGTATCTGGAGTGGAAAATTCTCAGCAGGGGATCAAACCAGAATGAACCAGTTTGAAACCCCGGACTTAACTGAAAGTATTTTTGAGAATATGCTATGTGCGTTGATAAGGATCTGATGGGAAAAAAATAGTAAATGATTCTTTAAAAGGCCTTGCCCTATTAATAGTGTTCTTTGTTCATTTTAAATAATCTATTAAGATTTCAATTCATGCAACTTCTCTGAGCACACCTTTTTTTTTTTTTTTTTAAACCCAACCACCTACAGATAAACTGATAAACTCAACCAACAAGATTTGTTCATGCCTATTTGAACCAGGTGTGGTTGTGCTGGTCTTTGTGGGTTAGAGCAGGGCTTCTCAAACTTGAATGTTAAGATGAATCACCTGGGGATTGTTAAAATAAATTGAGAGCCCGATTCTGTAGGTCTGGGGTGATGTATGAAGTTCTGTCTTTGTAACGAGTTCCCGGGAGATCTTGATGCTTTGGGTCCATGGACCACACTTAGAATATAGAAGGTATGTAGTCTATTTTATGGCTGCCTTTTCCTCTTCAAAGTTTGGCACATAAGAGTTTGCATTCAGTAGCTTCTCATTATATCTACTATGTCAAGGATGTATATCGGGTGAGAAAAATTGGTTTGCCACCATTACACAGTCACTTGTCTTAACCAGCAGCAAAATTTTATTTGTTATAAAAATAATTTATACCACTTTAAAAACATTTCAAAGGAGGTAATGTTTATCTTTGAAACACTTTTTATCTTAAATTATCTATAATATCTATCTTCCCCAAGTATTACTTCAATTTGTAATTACTTTGCAAGAAGAGCAGTTCCTTTTGTTTCTAAATTAACTCAGCCTAATAAATGGAGCTCTGGTAGCATAGTAGCTAAAGCACTTGACTGCTAACCAGAAGGCTGGTGGTTCAA